GATTTTATTTTTTTTAGCTTATAATTTTAAATTGGATGATCACATAGACCTCATTTTCTACTGCTCTTGAATAAACTCCTTGGCCTTCCTTGAGTTATAAAGTAAGTGAATCTCCTTTTTCTCTCATGGACTTAACCATGTACTAAAGGTCAAGCCTTATTTTTAACAAACAAGTAATCTCATTTATGTTATGCTGAGACTTCTATGCACACCACAGTGTTTGCTGAGACAAGTATGCTTTGATACCGTGTGCCCATGTATGGTTTTTTGCCCTGTGTGTTGTCTGTCAGACAACTGAAGGAACCACGAGTGCAGGAGAGTGCAGGATATATATTCACAGTATCTCAGGTAGTGTGATGGTCCCTAACCATAAGGGCTTAGAAGTTAACTGGAACTTATAAGTTAACTTAGAAGTTAACTGCTAACTCCATTAGCCAAATCCTTTGTGCTGTATGGAAGATTACACCTGGAGCATGAGGCTCTTCTGGCTGTCTTTTTTTGTTTAATATATTGGAAATTAAACCTTTTTCTCCCCTCAGAATAGTCAGGCAAAGAACTCCAGTTCTGTGTTGGTATCTGATGTTCGTGGATGTGTGTGTGTATGCTGTACACTTCCTTTGGCTAGGACTCCTTAGCTGCTTTTTATGGTGGGAGAAGGTTTTGGTGAACATAGCTTTAAATTAAATTTAAACTAAACTAGCTTTAAACTACTTCTTGAACCAGTTTTAGCACCAGCTTTAAATCAGGTTGAGAGATAGGTAGGTTAACATACTGCCTGGTTATCACTCTGTTCCTTATGTTTGATGATGGTCAGTTAATGAAGTCAGTGCTCTATAGTCTCAGTCAGTACCCCTGTGAACCTCTGCAGGGGCAAAGGACTCTGGCTAATTGACAGAAGTTTATTTAAAAAGATGATGGTAAATCTTCTACACATCAGCCAAAATATTGTTTAATTTCTCTAGAAATGGGTGTTTATGTTTGTAGGCTAGGATTGGGGGGTTTGGGTTGTGTGCTTGTTTTTCTTTCTTTTTAAGTCATCTTTCTGCCATTGTCCTCTAGCTATGTTGTTTTTCTCTGCTGCAAATGCCAGATTTGCACTCAGCCTTGTTAGTAAAATAAACTACTCAGAATAATGCAAATTGTTAATTCGAGTGTTTATATGGGCAGGTGTTTCCTTTTGTTTTTCCTTGTTAAAGGAGTGACTAATAGCACCTAGTGAGAGAGCAGAGCCTAGCTTTCCTTCTGTCTTACTGTTAATGCTCACATGTCAGACTAGGGAGTTGTATCCCAGTGGAAAACTATGAGTAACAGTCAAGTGTCTGCCATCCCCCTGGGCGGGAAAACATACACATGTCCAGAGTGAGTCTGAAAGCCATGGCAGCTCTTGTCTGGTTTTTGTTCTCTTGATATAGTTTTTCTTGATACTACCCTTCAAGCTCACTCGTCCTGTTTCCATAGAAAGGCCTCTCCTCTTGTGTGTCCCTGCTGAAGCAGAGGAATGGTCAGCTGTGTGGTGAGATAAAAGAAATGGACTTAATACAGTAAAAAAGATTTGAAAACAGCAGTGAAAGGTGGACTACTTCTGGATTCAGGAGAATGGAGATAAAGGCAAATTTTCTGATCTTAAAAAAACAAACCATTAAAGAGGAACTAGAAATTAATCTGTCATTGAAGTGAGCTTCTGCATACAGAGAAGGAATTGGATAAAAACGTCAGGACTTGTAACATGGGAAGTAGAAATGATCAAGAGCTACTTCTCTGGTGATATAATATTTGGTCTAAAGAAAGTCAAAGAAGTACCTTTCCACAGAGCATTCAAAATGCAGCAAGACCATTAGGAAAATTAATGAAAGAAAAATACTTCAGGGCAAAACAAGAAAGGTGTATGATTAACTCGGTTACAGATGAGCATGTGCATTTGTGCTTCATTATTTTTAAGAAAAATGTGTTCTTTGACTGCATCCTTCCTCCCCATGCCTCACATGGTGGTTGTGTTTTGGTAGTCTTTAAGAAATGGAAGAAGCTGTGTGTGGTTGTACAGTGCCTAGCAGAGTCCTGACTCGGTATCTGGCTATTACAGTGTATGTCCTAAATAACCTGTCTCATCTAGATTCTATCTAGATACGATGTATAATGCCTGATAATGCATGTAAAGAACCATTTCATTGAGCATAAGAGGCTGTTTGAGTGCACGGCATTTCAAATGATGAAGCTTTAATCAATAGTATTAATGTGCTTAATTCTTCAGAGAGAACTTCCATCAAACTCTGTGTCTCTCCTTATTCAGTCCTTCTCCTGCACCACTTTTTCAGAGCAGTTCTGCCTCAGTCATAACTAGCACTGTACTTCCTCTTTTCACCAGAAATTTGGTGTGCCATTCTCATTGTATTTGCTCTGTGCAGAGTGCCAAATGTGTTGGCAGGCTGGTAGGAATTTTCTTTATATATTGTAAGGAATAGTTTGGCTTTTGTGCCCTCAAGTAGCTGCAGTGAGACAGTAGAGTCAAGGTTAACTTTAGTCATGCAAGTTCCATTTCATGCAGAATGATTATAAAGCAGATTCCCCTTCTGTTGAAGCTTTTAGAACAGGAGGAAAATGCAAGAGATAATTTAATGTGGGGCTTGTCTTCATAGGTCAGAATAACAAGATAGTGTCTTTTTTTCCAGGCTGTTAGCAATAAAAGAACAGTTTCATGTGGCAGAAACAGTATGTTCTGGAGTGCATTCCAGTGAAAAGGAGGGGGGGAAAAAGATTACTTTGCAAATTGAAAAAAGTCTTTATAGTTTGTATAGGTTGATACCATTTGTTAAACAAGCCTGCAGGTCAGAGGTGGTCCATAAGTAGCAACAACTCTCACATCTGATAGTAACTCTGTGAACTGGGAGGAAGTAAGGTTTTGATAGGATATAGAATCATTTACTCAAGACTTCCTAGAATTTCTTTGCCAAACTTCCACATTTATGTCAAGATGTTTTTGCTTTACCAGCTCTTCCCAGATTTTTATGAAACAGTCAATTTATCTTCAGGAACAGACTGTTGTTTTCCCTGATAATGTTAACCAGACTTGTGGTGAGGCCAGACACAGCGGCATTCCAAACAAGTCATAATTAATCCAAACCACCTTATTTTTCAGATGGCACCTGGTACTGTGAGCAGAAAACAGCTAGTGTGCCCTGTTACATAGTTCAGGATAAAAAGGTTTAGATAAAGTATGTATTTAAAAATTGCAAGTGTATAAAAATATATTCTGAACAGAGCATTAAGTTCTCATTTCAACAGGAAGAAGTTTGAGGTACTAGCTGCCACATGCATCAGCAATAAATGTATTTCCTTACAAATTATTATAGTTGATAATCTGATGTTTATAATGATACATCAGTATTGCATAATCTAACATTTGCTTCATACTGTTTTTAATCACTGCAGTAAACTTACATCTGACATGTGGTATGACTCAATCCAAAGGTCATGTTGAAAAGTGTTTTTTAGTGTTTTAGTTGCTTTTAAGTTATGTTTTATTGCATATTTTTGGCTTGTACTCTGGTAAAATGCAGACCGTTTAGCCAGTGCCAGTACTCGGAAATAAAGATGCTGCTTGCAGGGGGTCATGATAAATGTGCAAAGGACATGCTCATCTGTCTGAACTCTGTCACCCCATTTTGTGACTAGAAGGGTTATGGAAACCAGGGATTTGTGACTCTGTATATACCATGAAACTCTAAAGGCATTTATTGGAAGATAAATCATGTAGTTTAATGACTTTTTTGCATTTTTACCATTCTGAAGGTGTGTGAAACAACAATGAAACATGATAGAGCTCTAGTATGGGAGGACCGAATGACTCCTAAGTTAGGAAGCTTTGTTTTATTCCACAAAGTTGAGCAAACATAGAAATCAAATCCAAATGGTCTCTGTCAGTGACTGGAATGTTCTATCCAGTTCCTGTAGCATTGTCAAGATTCGTACTGGGAATTTTGTTTTTTATCTGGAATGAGAGTCTCATCCCAGGTTCTGTGTTGCATCCACAACTTCCGTAGGGATTGGTCATCCTTATGAACTCCAGTTCTAGTTTCTGGTGAGTCTGGAAGGCACCAGATTTCGGCACTGTATGCAAGAATTAATTTCAAGTAAGGGCTTAGTATTCCTCTTAAAAAGAATAGTTCTTTTTCCTGCCAAACTGAGAGACTAGGGGGACAGAAATCAAAATTATTTACAGCTAAATGTATGTGTTTATGCCCAAGAGAAGTTAGGGATAGTTCTGCTGCTAATAACCATGTACTTGAATAGAAGATGCACTTGGCGGATTATTAGTGATTAATTTGTTATTTTTATGCTGGGCCTGTTCCTTCGTAACCTGGTTGTTTAGGAAATAATATTAATTACTGGCCAGTAAATTTGAAGACAGAGCAAAGATTTGATTGGGATCTCTGGCTACATTTGAATGATAACTTGAAATACTGTCTTAAAATGATTAAATAACGTACTGATCACTATTGATTAAATTCTTAAATTTGTCATCTTGCTTAGGCTCATTTTGATCTGATTCTTTTGGGGGAAAATGTACTTCAAAGCTGCTAGATTGTTGAAGTTAGCTGTCCTTTAAGATTATTATGGAGCTGTAGTAATCTTCATTTTTAGTGGATGACTAACTTGATGAATGAGAATGCTGTGACTATAGTGTGTTCTTTCAGCTGTTGGCCTCTAGTAAGAGACACTTTAAAAGGAATTTGAGAGCCGAGTTAGACATCTGACTAATTGCACCAGTTCCCCATGTAGGCCAGAACATTAATGGCAATAACTTTGGTCACCGTTGGTGGGAATTTGAGAGTATCTGTAGGCAATCTTGTGATCCTATTAGTCATGCTGCATTTTAAAGAGGTTTACGGAGACTATGAAGAAAACTGGAAGAGCTCATGGTAACTTAAGAAATGCTGACTGTAACCTGAACCTGACTGTTTCATTCTGTGCCACATTAGCATTTGCACAATCTCTGTTTTTAGAGGATTACCCCAATGGGACATGGCTTGGAGATGAAAATAACCCTGAGATGCGGGTGCGTTGCCCCATCACGCCTGCTGACATGCTGCACATCAGCACGAACTGCCGCACAGCCGAGAAGATGGCGCTGACATTGCTTGATTATCTCTTCCATCGGGAAATTCAGGCCATTTCCAACCTCTCAGGCCAGGGGAAGCATGGGAAGAAGCAACTTGATCCTCTCATGATTTATGGAATTCGCTGTGAGTATGATACTGAAACTTTTGAATTTATCCTTTGTTAATGAGGCAGAAACTGTCTGCTTGCAATTACACTAAGTTTTGTAAGAACGGGGTATGTATTGTTATTGTCAGACAGATGTTTTGTTAGCTTTTGTTGATGAAGGAATCCTAATGGGCTGGTTTAATTTAGTTTGTTGTGGGTATTCACCAGAGATTCCTCAATCTTGAAATCTGAATTCAGATTTCTTTGCAACTACCAGCTGCGAGCATGCCAAGTGTAGTAAAAATCAGGTAAATATTACTTTCCCAGATAATGGAACAAGTAATGAAACAAATTACACAAATTTAAATACTGTTCAAGTGTTCAAAACAGTATAGTCTTGACTCCTAGGTTTTTTCTTCCCATTTTTGTGTGTTATTTCAGAATACTTGCTTACAGTGAGATAGAAGAAATTTTCAGTATATACTGAAGGAGAGATTAAGTATCATAAAGTCTTTGGATTCATAACAGAAATGCATTATTATGCTAATGTTCTTTGGTCTACTCCAGTGTGCATGGGGTTTTTTGATTATTAAAGCTATTACGTATTAATGAGCAGATAGTTCTTATATTGAAGATGCATTTTTTGTCAATTTAGAAGTAATCGTGTGTTTTGAGTATGGAATATAGCAGTCATAGCCACTAGTTTTAAGTAAAGGGAAAAATCTGGACAGAAGCATCTTCTTTGTATAGAGCAAGGACATAGAGTAGCCACTAGTTTTGAGTGAAGAACCATCTGGACATAGGGCTCTTGCCTTGATAGAGTAGCTTCTGGTAGAAGATCACTCTGTGAATATACTGAGGACAGCCAAGTGTGTTCCATGTGCTGTGGTGTAAATATTTGCTGGTAAAGGAAGTAGGTGAAGGCATCTGGCCCAAGTCTTAACTGCTCTCATGTGATACCCTTGCTATGTATGTAAATAGGAAACATACTCAAACGTTAGTGTGGAATCAAGACTCTAAAAATGACCAACTTCACTAACTAAACTAATTTTTAATATACCAGTAGATCTCACTGTTAAAAAAATCTTTATAGTCACATCTTATGTAGGTCACCAATGGATTAGTAGAGTGGGAATGATTTGTTATACTGGAGTGTTTTGTATGTAGTTGCCAATTTGAAATGCTAGTTAAGGCTTAAGAACACAGCCAGAGAGAGCTTCCTTTGAATGGTGTTTGAAGAATTATGCTGCTGTTAGGGCAATGTCTTTGTTAGTTACATGGAAGAAAATTGAGAGGAATATTGGACTGCTGTGCTTTCTTTACACTGAATGGAACTGAGGAAATACAATTCTATTGACCTGATTTTGTTCCTAATAATTTGCTGGCTATCTCAGGGAAATTGGTGGGCAAATCTAACCCCTTCAGTTTGCTGTATCAGGCCAGTTTTTGTCTTGTTACATACCTGAAACAGAAGACTTCAGGCATCTACTCAAATGTGTGAAATATGTGTGTTTAAGGGAGACTGTGATTCAAAGTAATTGTGATCTCCAAAATCTTTTTATCTATTCATCTCAATGTAAATGACCTTGTTCCATTGTGGTTTTTAAAACTTAGATTTTGTTCAAGAGTAGTTTTAGAAGCATAAAGAAGTGAATCTTGCTCCAACATTAAAGGCAAGTCACTATTGGCCCTTTTCCCCCTCGCTTTTAAATCTGTGAGCACAAATCAAATGAGGGAGTTTGTAACTATTTGTGTGGGAAGAACAAGCTTATGAAAATGTGAGTGTGGGGAAGGAATGTGCACGTGTGACTGAATGCTGAAGCTAGGGATTATGTCATTTATATGAGGCGTTCTGACCATGAAGAAATAGGATTATAGAAGTGATCCGTGCAGTTGGAAAAGGTCTGCAGTAGCAGAAATGTAACAGCAGTGGATCAGAAGGAGCAGAACTTGGAATGATGGACTGGGCACAGAAACCGATGTCTGTGTCTTTGGTGTCATAAGCATGGTTCAGAAGGTTTGGGATCCAGGTATCTGAAACATATCTTTATTTCTTCTTCATGTTGGATAGTGAGTTGCTTTCATTTGGGAGCTAGTTCATTAAAATCTGGGGGTTGTGTATGTGTCTGGAAAAAAATATGCCCTATGTGAATCTGACCAAAATTTACTTTTTTGGGTACCTGAACGTTAATGGTTATTGGCAATGACAGAGAAACTTGTGGCAACAAATGAAGAAAATGCATGTAAACTTGGTGACACAGCAAATTTAATAGTAATGATGTTGGTCTAGAAATGATGATTTCATGTAATAACTTAATATGTCATCACTGTGAATAATTAAGTTGAAATGAAATTTGATTTCAGTAAACTGCTCATGTATCCACTATGATGTGAGTGAGCATATGGATGTCTCATAACTTGTGAGGATGAGATTTTGGCCATGTTCATTTCAATGGCAGAACTCCTGTTGAGTTCAGCTGTGCCTTGACTGATCCCTGATATTTGTCAGTGGGGTACTGGGAAGAGCCCTGCCACACCATAGCTACTTTGCTTTCAGCTGTTTATCAGTGAAGTATTGTTCCATAAAATCTACCAAAACCTGAGTGCAATGCTAGCATGGGAACTAAATTAGGTGGTTGTCCTACCAATGTGGTTTGCTTCTGCTGGGAGCAGTAATACTTTGATGCATTATTTTAAACTTAAATGAAAAATCTAATGTCATCACCTCACATTTGCCAACCATAGCTAGAAAAGCTCAAGCCAATATAAAGGATTTTGTTTTTGTTTCAAGTTTCTTGAAGTTTGTCAGTGGAAAGATATTCCTTCCATTCTTGAAAATACCCACCAAATCTGCATTTAATAGAGAGAATATTTTGTATAATATGCAGAAACAGTAGAAAATGAAGAGATGCATGTTTATTAAAAAATCTGGATACACTGCATTAGGATTACCACAAGAGAGATGAAAGTTTATCTTTGGAAGTATAAATTTTCACTTGTGGTATAAATTTGCTTGTGGGGTGGCAGTCGTATTGAGGAGAGTTTTTTGGGCAAGAAACCAAAATGACTTAAACACACTATATGTTATTAAGTAGCTCATTACTTCAGCCCTACAAAAAATGTAGACATTTTCTGGTGAAATACGATATAGGAATATCCACAGTTGCAATTTTCTTTGTGTAACAGAAAATACAGGTTTAACTCTCTTGAGATTTTACAGCAATATCCACCAATGAGTTTGAAAAAACAGATTTCCAAAATCAGAATTTTGCATTTATAAGAAACTTGATTGCACCAAGGATGATGTTACATGTTGTCTTGGAAAAAACTGAGAGGGGATTTCTGAAGTTTGTAAAAGAAAATCTATCAATAAGTCTTTTTTTTTTCTTTTTTTTTTTTTTTAAAATAATCAAAGAAATTAGATGAAAACAAAATAACAATAGTTAAATGAGTTAACATTTGTTTCATCCAAAACACATCCCTATTGTTTAAATAACAGGAAAAAAGTATTACTTGAAAATAACTTACGCTAAAGTCTGATTTTTAGCTATACATTATTTTATATGTAAATGATGTATATGCTGTTTCAAATGGCATAATGCTTTTTAAGATGCAATTAATAATGTAGAATAGAAAGAAAGTGGTAATGAAAAATCGGTATTTTTGGTGTGTCATAATTTTGCTCCCAGTAAAGATGGGACCACTTTTCTACTGTACTAGTTGTAGGAGACATTAATACACTTTGCTACAAGAGTTGAACACAGCTACATCTCCTTAGAGGGCTGCTCAAATGAAATTAAGCACTATACTGCTTTAGAAAATTCACTGACACAGTAGTGCTTGAGAAGGAGACCACCCACATTTATTTAATAGGAAACACATTTGACTCCTGCTTAATTGTGTAGCATATGTCAGTTAGATCAGTGTATGTATATCTGTGTATGTATATACACTCATGCACATAACCCAAATGTAATGTGGGCTGGGCCGGTTTAAGGAACTTGTAACTCATGTCGTGTAAAACCTGTGGATCACAGTAAGTCACTACTGTTGCAGCTTCTCATTTGCTTGTAATGAAGATTTTGATCTTAATAGCAGTGCGGGATGAACAACAAGTACACCACACTTCTGTCTTTCTCAATCATTATCATCTTTTAAATAGTAGAGGAAGGGAAGTAAGTTGCTTCTTAGGGACAAAGAGTTAGCTCTAATGTTTCTCACCAGTGAGTCTGTTTTCTGAGATACTGCACACTGTTGCCATTATGTTGAATGTTTTATATAAGCAAACAGTACAGTTGGTGAAGGTGTACACTATAAATACAGAATGGATTTAGTATTTCCTGGTTGGCTTTTTTTTTTCCATTTTCGCTTAAAATCCTTTTAGTGTAGTATTTTTATAAATGATACCCATTTTTCCTTTTATATCCTGGTTGTTTTTTTTTTCTTTCCTCATCTCTGTATGCTTTTTTGTACTCTCTGTCTGTCATCCTTTTCATTTCCTGTTTATAATTCTGGGCTTCATGTGTCTCATTTCTGAATATTGTACTAGTCACTATCTATCACACTGTGTAGTGTATATACAATGGTTTAAAACAGTTTTACACCTAGATGCAACAGAGATTGCTATAGGTCTTGATTAACAGTAATTGTAGACATCTATCTAGGCTTTGGATTCCATCAGGAGACTGTAGGAAGACCTTCAAGAAAAATTAAATTTTTTCAGTTTGTCTTTTTGTCCTATCTCTTGAATATCTCATCAGCACTAGAAATAGATGGATTTCTATAATTTGGACTGTTGTGACTACATTGCTAATTGTGGTTACAGTCCATCCCCCTTGATGGACCAGACTCAAGAATCAGTCATGCTCTGGGTACTCTGGAGGTTTGGGGGAAGTACAACAGGGCTAGTGGCAGTGCTCAAGGTAGTAATTTGTTGAGGACCTCTGATGTTTTCTGTTTAACCCATGCTCTTGTTTCTTCATTATACGCGACATTAATCTTCCAAGCTGTAGTAGTCTAAGAAGAAGTTGTATGGTTT